CCCACTAGAGATGAAAAGCTCCAGCCGTGACATGAGTGGGGAGTTGTTGGGAATTTTTAAAAAAGTGATATTGATCTACTATAGCAAGGGCAAGCGGCAAACTGCTGCAGGTTTAGCAAGAGTCCACAGACCGCACACAAACCTGTACACAAAACTGAACAGCACTTTTTTACTCTGGCAAACTCTAATCTGATTGGCTGACTTAATGCAACTTCCGTGATTAAGGGTTATAAGCTGAAACAAGCCAGCGATTTTGAGGATGAAATAATCACTGGATTGTCTAAAGTTTTCTAGGCTAGTAGCATCAAATCTTCAAAAGATATTCAGAGTTTCACCTAAGACACTTAATAAATATCTTTGAATGGCATATTACACTTCATTGTACTGTTTTATGTCTGTGAAATAATAATTGCTAAGCCTTTATTTTAATAAATACTTTTCACCACTGTCTATTATTTTGGTATAATTTCAGATAAACCCGCTCTGAAAAGCAGTGTTGTTCGCCAATAAGAATTAAAATGAAATTGTCTTTTAAATTCCTCTTCAATTCTTAAGATTGTATTGAGGAATCAAGCAAGATGTAGAACTGCAACTTGAATTCAGTTATGAACTAGAATTATAATAAATTAACATTTAAAGAAATTTAACTAATTTTTAACTAAAACGACAGCTTGACAGTCGTTTGAAAATTGACGAACAACAGGTAGAATGATATAATTTTACACAGAATGACAAATGGATAGATTAAGTAAACTCCACTTTCAAATCCAACTTCCTGTGTTTTGTGGCCAATTCAGCTTAAATCCAAATGGAGCCAACTGGCTTGGCACTTTACATGCTGATCAGATGGTCTCTTCCCGTCTAAGTGGGTGGGGTCTAATCGTGTGGACCAGACCTTTGCAAAACTAAGCAAGAGCTTGAGTTTCACAGTAAGACCTAAGTTAAGAACCATGCAGGTGGTGACAGCTCTTTTCAAGTCCTAAAACATGGACAAGTGGCTTAATGCCTTTGAGCGAACATCTGAGGAGGGCCTCTTCATCAAGATCAACCCCTCCATCATCATCCACCTCTCAGGCGGCCGCTCCAAAATGTCCAGCACACCCAAACAACAGCAAAAAGAAAGTTAAACATTTGTTCAAAGGGAGACGACTGATGTCTGCCTTGCGGTCGCACTTTACTGAGCTGAGAAAACCTGAGGAAACCACATCAAATGGAGGAAAGCTGGGATATCACCACAACTCATATCCAGCAGTACGGGGGCATTTAAACTGTGCTAAATGGAGAGGAAACATGAGGAAGATGGTGTGCTGGAGATCTCATTACCGTCTCAACCCATCGCTCTAAATACTCAGCTCATTCCACAAAACAAGCCCGAATGTAAGTACCACACTGCGTACAGCACAGTTACGTTCATAAACCTTGGCGCCAGCACTGCTTGAATCCACCTCTATGCATTATCAAAGAACCCCATTGACAGTCCATTTGGATTTTAATTGAGCGATGACCTCATAATGGTCTTTTCTCACTGCTGGTTACATTCAGTGAGTTTTATCTGAATAATGACCGCATTGTGGTCTTCATTTGCCTTAGTGGTTGACAGTAGATTTTAACTAATAACAAATGAGCTATTTGTTGTCTAAACTGTAAATTAAAGCCCTTAGAGGTCACTTTTCATAAAGTTTATCCAAATAACGATGAATTCCCTCATTTGTATTTGCGTATTTTCAAATATGGTGCGTGAAGATGCATCATTCCAGATTTGTCAATCCAACAAACACCATTGTTCTTATGCACTATTTTTCTAACCAAATATCAGTTGCACTTTCACATATTCAAATTTCCTCAGTTTTTCCATTTCAAATTGTGCAAATTCAAATGGCATATTCTGCATATCATAAGACTTGGAATATAGATACTTTTCTTATGTTTTTTCATCAATTTTTAAGCTTGACAGCCCTTCGCGACTATATGCTTTCATTGTTAGGAAAAAAAGCAGCATGAACATTCTGCTAAACATCTGTTTTTGTGTTGCACAAAAAAAACCATGCAAGTCTGAAACAACATGAAAAGGAGTGAATGATGACAATTAGCATTTAGGAGAGAACTAGTATTTCTTTAAATTCAACTTGGAAAAAAGGCAGGAACACAACATATACAAATACAACTAAGACTTCAGAACATTTTGAGAATGCCCTTTGCAAACCGTAGGGAACAGAGTTTAGAAAGAGTGGTAATTCTGCCTTTTTTTAGCTGCTGAGGATGGAGAACCAGCCCAAAGGGTCGATGTCTCCACACGGCTGACTTTAAACTGTGCGGTCGGAAGTTCAGTCCGAGGAAATAAATAAATAAAAAGTCTGTGACCTCTGCGTCTGCTATTTTGTGTTTTTCCTTCGAAATTTAAATGAGTGGTCCAGTTGGTTGTCTGCTGCCAGTCGGCAGGGCCCCTTCAACAGCGTAAGTCTACTTTCTCTGGCCCCAACCGCATTACGTTCATCGCCAAAACAGATCGAAGACCACCATCTCCCTTCCATCCCTATCAGAGCCTTATTTTCCACTCAAACACGATATTTTTTTGTAAATGTGTGGTTAGTGAGAGGCCGGTGGAGATACACAGAGCTCCCTGTCTCAGTTGAGCTGACCTTCTGCTTTCAACAGCCAAATTTGGATGCAATGGGGCCCTGCTCTCATCCTCTTTCATATTAAGTGGCAAAATGATCTTTATGGGAATCAGCATGCAGCATTAACTCAAACACATTACACCTAGATAAAGACTCCCAGCATCTCTCAGCTTTCTCTCTATCTTCTTTTAATGCTAGAATCCATCATAACTCAAGCATGCAGGCTGACTGACAATCAAATCACCACGCCAATCTGGAAAACACAGAGAGTCCTTGAAACTCCAATTCTGACTCATTTTTCTGCAACCACGACTATTATTTTGAGCTCACTTGATATTCAATCTAAACCAATAGTCTTGTGAGGTCAATATACAGTAGAGGATGTTAAAGAGGCAGAAAAATAATGTCACAGCCTGTGATGGAAAAATAACCTTATAAAAAATTACCTTCAACTGGGGGATATATGCAATTCATTACATGTCAGTCAATTAATTGTAAATATTTTTGGTAACACTTTACAATAAGTTTCATTAAATATCAATATGAATTAAACATCATGAATTAACAAAGAGCAATACTTTTATAACATTTATTAACCTTAATGGCAATAGCTACATTTTATTTATTTCTAAAGAAAAAGAAAAAAATATTTCACTTCATGCTTTCATTTTAATTTCTAAAACATTTCAACAACTTAAATGAACATTTACGTATTAAGAAATAACATGAATTAATAAACAAAATTTTACTTTTTATTTAATATTTTTATTAAATTTATTATAAAGAGCTACCAAATTTTAAATAGATAAATTGAAGGCCTAACCCCAGTTAGAGTTGAATTCACACAACTCTCGTTTAAATGGACCGTGAGTGTCAAATGTAAAGATAAATTTCTTCAAAAACTGCATACAAGAAATTAGGAGAAATTCCAGCATGGAACTTGTATAAACTCTAAAAAGGAAGAAGACAAGGTCTTTTCTCCAGGGCACCAAACCCATCTCAGTGGAGCCACATTAATTTGACAGCAAGACAGTAATGCTACAATGCCTTTCTGCAACTCAGACTGCAGGGATCCTTCACTGAATCCTGAATCAACTACGGTATGGAGACCTTCGACCTCCTATATTCCTCTAGTACTCATCTTTATCTAGAGTCAGGAAGTGCTCAAAACACTAAAGCAGTACAGGCACTGATAAGAAAAAGACTGAAAGAGAGAGTGAGAAAAGACAAGAGAGAGTTCAGAGAATGCTGTGGGAGAGAAGAGAGAGAGCGAGGGGTTCTTGGATTCTGCTGAAGTGATCTGTTGGAGAGACGAGTCTGCAGAAGCTCAGCGGAGGATGAGGAAAAGCCTGAAATAAAGAAGCACTCAAAAAGCCATTCAGCCTCCCAAGAGCACACAGTCTCTCGAGGCCTCTGGCCTACCTGCTGCATTAGGAAAAAATCATGCCTGTATGCATGGACCATGGACCAGGGATTTTCAAACTGGGATCAGAGGACCCCTAGGGGATCCACAGAAAAGTTAAGGAGTAAAAATGTAAAAAATAATCATAAGTAAATAAATAAATTATATCTGTTATAAAAACCATTTGAAAATTACTTGAAATAAAATAATCATTAACTGAAATAAAATATAAAACAACTTTATTTTAGCTAGTTGCCAAGGCAACATTTCTTATTTTTATTTAGTTTACCTTGATGTACTACAATAACTAAAATGAACTACAACATTTTTAAAAACTACAAAACACTAAACTGCTGAAAATGACAAAAGAACACATCAAAATGACTAAAACTTTAAGAAAAATTTAAATGAAAAGAGAAAATATAAAAATAAAATCTCATATAAAATATTAATGAAAACTATAATATAATAGTATGCAGAATGTGAACTGTGCACATTATTAAATAATGCACAATGTTTCACACATTATTATTTTTTAAATAGTATGGAACAAAGTGAGAGAAAAAAAAAGAAAAGAAAAAAAAAAGAAAAAGAAAATTAAATTACATTTTCAAAAATCATTGTTGGGGGTCCAATGCATCAAAAAGTTTGAAAACCCCTGACCTAGACCACGAAAATCCTTCTAACAATGATTTTGTTGGATAATTTTTCTACTGTACTTTTAAGATTAAAATATGAGAATGGCCTCTGTTATGATTGGCTAACCCCTTTGCAAGTAAAACGAGTAACAATGTCCACGCCAAGTTATAATAGGGCTGTACTGGTAATGATGGAATATGTCTACATACTCCTTTCAAAAGAGCAAGAAAATCCTGTTTATCATAATATATCCCTTTTAAAAAAGCATCAGTAGCTCTTTAAGACGGCAGTGACCGCTATATCAGGCCAAAAGAGGTGAAGGACAGGCATAAAGGTCTTACTTCATTTCCAGCACTTCCTCCAGGTGCTTTCTGCGCTCTGCCCTCAGTGTGGTCAGGTGAGCCTCCTTCTCCGCCAGGGACTGCTGGGTGGACGACAGCTTGGCCTTCATGGACTCCAACTCTTGCTTCACCTTTTCCATGGCGGCCAACAGCTCCTCCATCTGTGCATGCAAACACACACAAATAAACATGTTTGTGCTGATGAACAACAAACAAGCATTACGACAAAACCATAATCCTAGCGAAACATGCCTGATAAGACAGAATGTAAATAAATATGTTGAGTGAACACACAGCAGGCCAAGAGCGAAGCTCACAGGGACACAAATGGATTTGTGCACAGAAAATTAGATGGACGAAATGAGTGTCCAATGCAAAAATAGTAAAGAGATTCATATAATAGAGAGAGAACGGGTGAAAACAAGACCAGTGTGAGTGTGTAAGAGTGTGTTACTCCAGTTATATTAACTACATAACTCCGTGATGAGGTTTGTCATACATCACATCCCCAGAGTTATTTCGCTCCGGCTTGTTTTTGAAAAGGTGGATGTTCTCCGTTCCTGACAGTGATTTTTCTTTCTTCCTCTCCCTCCGTTTTCACACAATGTTTATAACTCAAAGTAACAGGAGCGAGTGAATGAGGAGGATAAATCAAATAGCGTGGCAGGTTTATGTATTCCATGGAAGGCAAGGTTTAGCGACTTGGCTCAAAGCGGTTCTCACAGACTGCTCGACTGCTTGCGGTTCACCCCGGGTCTCTCTGAAATCTCTGTGCTCGCAGGAAACTGCGTAGGCCTCGGGCGGAGATCTGTGCAGTCTCCTTCATCTGTTCTTGGTGTTTATCCATCCTTCCCTGCTCTGCGTTTCATCAGCTTTTGTTCCATCCATACTAGACACTTCTACATAGATTCAAATCCAAAAATAGTTCACTAAAAATTCCTTTCGATCTTCACAAAAGATGCAAAATGAAGTGGTTCATATGGCTTGTGTGCTCGAGAATTCGAGAACCAGATTAGTCCGATTAGTCTTGAACGAATCATTTCGACCAGTTTTGTGAACAGGATTAACGCATTCATTGAAAAGACCATTCAGAAATCTGGGAAGCTAAGTCAGTGAGTTGAACTCAAAAACCAGATCAGTGTGATTCACAAATGAATCATTCAGATCGGTTTTGTTAAAAGGATCAACCAAAAGAGTGATTCATTCGCAAATCGTGCAGTAAAGTCAGTGAGTTGACCTTGAGAACTGGATCAGTCTGATTCCTGAAAGGATCATTCAAATCAGTTTTGTGAAAAAGATCAAATGATTGATTGAAAAGAACTGACTCCAAATTCATTCACGAATTGGCCATCACTACTTCTTTCATGATGACAAGTGGGTGAGTAAATAATGATTTTTTTTAGAGATTAAACTATTCCTTTAATGCATTCATTCTTGAGACATTTACAGAGTTTCATTGTACTGACACCTAACACTGTCCAAAGACATGATTATATGTTTTCTCGTGATCTGTGAGCACTAGAAATGTTTTTCAGCAGAATAGCTGGAGGCAATAAGCAGAAACACCACAAAAAATGAGATTTAGCTGTGATAAGATAATACCCTTTGGAAAAATGAATAAATAAATAACAGAACTGTATGTATGTGAGCACATGCTCTCAGCAGTGCTGCCCTCTGGTGGTCGGAGGTATTGCAGGATGTGGGAGAGCGTTCAATCCAGCTGTCATCATAAGTCATCTGCTTAATGTACTACACCCAAGCCAAGCCTAGTGAACAAGCTACCAAAACCCGCTCAGTCAAATTTACTGCCATCTACTTTTCTGTCCCGCTCTCATATGCTCTCGTTTGTCTTCTCAAAGCATACCAAACTCACACAGGGTTGATCCGGAACAGCAACGAACAGGTCGCGACTAAAACCTGAGGATGATGGTGCCTCCCCATGGCACGCGAAATCCACCAGCAAATTCATTATTCTGAATAATAAGAGGAAATCATTATTCACGTAGAGACAGGCCAGGCTAGCATTTCTTTGACTCAAATGGAGAGCACAGGTCACATCTTAGAAGAATGAAACTGGCGAGAGTCCGAGTGGACATAAAAGACGGTAATATTTTTCACAGATACAACGAAAAAACCTGCATGTCTAGTTTCCCTCTCGGGAGATAAAGTGAGGTAGAATCGAGACTGCATGCCTCAGGCCCCACAGTATAAGCAGAGGGAAATATTTAAACGCTGGCAGCATCGGTTTCACTGCCTGTGGCAACCCTGGGGTGAGGCCGGGGCAACAGGGCTGTCTGTTAAAACCAAGCAGCCAATGAGAGGTGAGGAGAGGGGGATGGAATGGAACCGTGAGAACTTTGGTGCATTCAAAAGCACACAAAAATCTCAACGAAATCTCCCACTGTTGTGTAACCACACATACACATACAGAACAACGGCAGAGCAGTTAACTAATGATTCCAGGATGCGTGAGAGCCGATATAGTATCAACGTGCCTGGAGGGGAGATATGTGAACTGACTCCATCCTCAGCGACCAAACATCATCTGGAACGAATGGATTTGAATGAATTTACAGTGTGCTCGGTCAGTTTTACTGTAAAAGTATTTAGCAAGCGCTGCCTGGAGCCAAATTCTCAAAGCCGTTGAGTTAAGTCATTCATTAGGAGATAATTAACAGATTTTAAAGGTCTGACTAATGGCCTGGCAGACCGTTGGAAGGTTAAACCTCTCACACAAACTCAAAAATTTGTACAGCCTACATAAGGAATCATGGAAATTGCAGTTCCTAGTACTCTAGCATGTGGAATCGAATATTGGTTCTTATTCAGAACCGGACCTGTTTTTAAAAATATATATATCAGATGATTTTCATTACATCCAGTTCTATGAACCATCCAGTTCTATCTTCCATTAATGCTACAATGCTATGAATGAATACAGTGTTTAATAAATATATACTGCTACTGAATCTAGAGTTCAAAAAAAAAAAATAAAATACAAAAATTTTAACAATAATATTGCTTGTTCTTTAATGGTAAAGGGTTTTTTATTTATAAATATGATCCCCTTCATAAAATATAAAGACAGGAATTTATTTTCTAGTATACAGACATTTATTCTGTGTGGAAAAAAATGAAATGATCAAGACAACATGCGCTGAAGTCATAATGATAAAAAATATATATATATTTAATTTATATATATTTAATATATGTAAAATATTTAAGTTAATAAATAAGTTATTAAAAAAATTCTAACCAATATTACAACAGAAACATTTTAAATTCAATTCAAGTTTACTTTCATAGTGCCTTTCAAAATAAATATGAACAATAAATAATGCAATTATTGTTATAATCTATTTTACTCAGAATAATTTTTATATATAATAATTCATAATTATATTATTATTAATAATTAAGAATTATTAATGAGATTATGGAACCAGAAAAATTTTGTGGAATCGGAACCAGAAATTCCTTTCATGTCCCATCACTAGAGTTTGCTTAAAATTCTCTGAAAGAAAAGCAGAAAGATTAAAACCAATGCAAACACTGCTTTCAGCAGACTTGCTCGTGCTGTTGCCTTTTCTGATGGAGGAATGGATGGCAGTTTGTGTGTGTGTGTGTGTGTGTATGAAAGAGCAAGGTGGCATGCAGCGCTTGTTTTCTCAGGGGAGTACAAACTAACCTCAGATGTTAGTCAAGTCGTAAAAAAAACGCTGCAGTGAATTATGACACCTCGGGTGTGAAAAATTGAGCTCTTCACTGGGTGATGATAACACCACTTCCTGTCTCACACTGGGAAGTTGGAACGTGAACCAGAAAGGCAGGAGGAGTACAGATCAAAGAGTTTGAGATGCACATCCTTTAACTGATCTTCACAGTCCAGCTTCAGCCTCTGCAAGTGTTTTTTCGACTTGGAGTAATTGCTCACATCAGTTGTGACGTACCGTCTATGGAATTGATAACAGTGATTTTCTCCTTTTCGGTTTAATTTAAGGCTGAACTGCTCAAAACCGGTGTCAGAAACAGGCCTTAGGGAAAGGAAGAGGATCTGTCAGTGATCAAGGAGAAGAGTGATAAAAAGAACAGGAAAAGAGGGAAAAAAGAAAGACTGAAGCAGGGTCAGAGGGGCTGGAACAGATGCCTCTTCAGATGAGGGAAAGCACGTGGAAATAAGCAAAGAATGAAGCAGTGCGCTGTATAGTTGCCTCTTTGCGCTACAAGAGAGCAGAACAAGAGAAAGAAAAACAGAAATAGGTCAAATGCAATGCACACAAAAAGAAATATCAGCAAAAAATTAACAAAAAAAAAAAAAGAAAAGAAAGGAAAAGCAATGCCTGTTCAGAAAAAAAAAATGGTGCTCTAAATGACTGAAAATGTCAATTTGTCAAATTGATGAATATTATGTTAAATGCCTGGAGAAAATAACCAATAAAATCTGCATGAAAATAATGAATGCAGCTTCTAAAAGTAAACAGTACTGACAGTATATATGATGGTAACACCTTGATAATTTTATATAAACCATGGTACAGAATAATTACTCATATACCAGTTATTAGTATTTCAAGTTAATCGCGTATCTTTTTAAACAAAAAAAAATGTATTACTATACCACGTCCAAAAACAAAGCAAAACAACAAAAACAACCTTACCTCACACCATGCACTGGTACCTCTATAGTACTTTAGCATAAATCATGGTACTGACTGATAGCCATATTTACATACCATGGTATTTGCACAGCACTTCAATGAATACCAAGGCATAAGCATCATGTAGTTGCCCCAAAAAAGAAACTCGAAAATGATACAAGATATCATGTTCTAAAAACATGGTAATACCACAGTGCTACTTTTGTAAGTGGAAGACCTCGTATTGGTTTGTTATTGATGTGCACTGTGAAGTGATGAGATCACGGTGGGCGTTAGATCAGGGCCTTCTCTTCAGCTCGTGCCGAACTCAGAAGCTTCTAATCACCTCCTGTGAGAGATATCCAGACTAACCCAGATGCTCGGAGCAGAAACATAACACTAATAAAAACTGCTTAATGCAGCAGCGTGCTGTTTTTCTCCTGCTCTGTCTCCCCTTCTCCTCATCCGTCTCTTCCTACTCTCTCCTCCCCGGCTGCCAAAAGAGCAGCCCCGTCCTCAAC